TTTAACGATCTAATAGTGGTTCAATTAATACCGACTGTGATCGCTCTAGATTTTCAAATGAGGAGATATTTGTTTTTGATATTGGATTATGTCCATAATATTTTAAATATACATGACAAGCATTTAAATGCGACAGAATGAAATAGAAATAATGTAGACTACAGATTAGTAATAAACTTATGCATCTACTAATGGCAGTACAGGAGAAGCTATTACCCCATCATATACCACGAATGTCGAAACAGACTACTAATAGAAATAGGAGATCTGGTAACAAACTCATGTCTATACCAAATATCCAGACCGACGAAGGAAGCCGCGCCAAGGGATATCCCTAATTTGCCAGTTAATATAGCCAATATTACGTAATTTTTTTACGTGGTAGAGCCATGCTGCAGTTATATTAGTAGTATAGTTGTAGCACGAATGGGTCGGCTCGACCGGGGAAGGACCACGCTCTCACAGAATACCAGCGTGAAATAGTAGCTTAATGCTGCTGTATTTCGTATGGTGAGTGTAGAGAACCGGAGACCCTTGTTACTGGAAATGAGGCATTCCATCTCAGTCCTCGCGGGTGACAACGCATCTGCATTTTGATTTGTAATGGAAGATAGATGTAGATGTCTATGGGCCGCAGCAACCACTTACCATCAGGTGGACTGTGTGCTCGTTTGTCACCCTATTCTATAAAAAAAAATTGATTTCTTTGTATTTTTTCTTTATGATGAGCCTTTTATAATTCACTGCTACATATAGGCATTTTAAGAATTCACCCATTGAAGTAAATGCTCCTCTCCGAAGGCTTCAGATGCATCGTTACCTCTGAGGTCCCGGATGTCATGTAATTTTATTAATTAAGGTAATTTCAATATTAAACTAAATAGTAAAGCTTTTATACCCGGCAGTTCGTGTAAGTAGTTCTATCCCCCAACCTCATTTTCTCTGAAAGACAGTAGTTAAATAAAGGATGAATAAGGGATCACACGGATTTAAGCTTAATATTTTCATAATATCAACTTACAACTAATACCAATAATATTCGAATCAGTTTCTTTTCTCAGAATTTATTATCATCTACTGGAATATATTATGTATTTATGTGTAATAAAAAGGCACATTATTTTATAAAATAAGAGTGACAAACTAGCACACAATCCACGTAATGCTAAGTGGATGCTGTCGCCCAAAGACATCCTCATCTGTCCTCGATTAAGAAACAAATGCAGGCGCGTTAGTCACTATAATGGAATTCTTCGTTTCCACTAAATAGGGTCGGTCCTCTACACTCGGTATACGAAATACAGCAGCAATCAGCTACAATTTTACCTGATTTTTGTAAGGGCGTGGTCCTTCCCCGGTCGAGCCAACCCGATACGTTCTACAACCATAATATAGCTGCAGCATGGCTCTACCACTTAATTATACATACATCTGTGGCCGGAAGAGGAGCACAAACAAATGCCGCACACATCTAAACTCTTTCACACACCAAACATCTTTCACCGTCAAGTTTGTCAAAAAATATATTTAAGTTTTATTTTTTGTGATCCTCACTCATTTGCTACTACTTGTCGGATGAATGAGCACAAAGTCCACCTGATAGTAAGTGGTTGCTGTGGGCCCTAGACATTTACATCTATCCTCGCCTACCTACGCCGCTCAAAATGCAGATGCGTTGTCATCCCTGAGGACTAAGATGGAATGTCTCGTTTATAGGAAAATGGATCTGCGGTTCTCTACACTCATTATACGAAACACAGCAGTGTGGAGCCGCTATTTTACGCTGGTATTCAAAAAAGCCTTAAAACCGCATTCTGCAGAATGTATTCTACTCTCGTTGTTCTTCTTAAACACTCAACTTTCGCTATCATATGGTAAGGGACTAACACAGCATTGTCAATTTCCATACGAGCCTTTTTTGACACATTCTGATTTCACATAATACATTGAGAGCCCTTTTTACTCTGTGCCCGTTCTTGGTGTGTGCGTTCAATGAGTATAGTAAAATAATATTCATTAAGAAGGGTAATTTGGATATGTATTCATTCATTCATCACAACCTTTATAAGTGGTAGAACCATGCTGCATTTATATTAGTAGTATAGTTGTAGCACGAATGGGTCGGCTCGACCGGGGAAGGAGCACGCTCGCACAGAATACCAGCGTAAACTAGTAGCTTAATGCTGCTGTGTTTTGGATGGTGAGTGTAGAGAACCGGAGACCCATTTTACTGGAAACGAGGCATTTCATGTTAGTTCTCACGGGTGACAACGCATTTGCATTTTGATTTGTAATCTAGGATAGATGTAGATGTCTATGGGCCGCAGCAACCACTTACCATCAGGTGGACTGTGTGCTAGTTTATAATAATATTTAAAATAATAATAATAATGATAATTATTCGCAGGTTTGTTATCGCACGGCGCGGTTGCTCGCTACTCGCTACTTTGGTGGGGAGCGGTTGTGTCGGCGTGTAAAAATAACAGCTGTTTTGGCTCGGCGCTCACTTAGCGGTCAGCCGCCGTAGAGTCTACATCACCTGAGGATGCCTCGTGTAGAGGCGAAACACGTGTCGTATTATCGTCGATGGTGTGTCCTTCTTGGAATAGTGGTGTTGGAAGCATTGATGCCGGGAGTAGTGGTGTTGGGAGTAGTGGTGCTTGGACTAGTGGTGACGGAATTAGTGCATGCAATTGAGGGAGGGCGGGAGGTGCTCTTCAATCCAGGTAAGACACATCATTGTATTCAGTTGGGGGAAGGTTGCAAATTAATCAATATCTTTATTAAATTCTTCAATTTCAAATTAAAAGTTTAAGAGAATGAAGAAAATAAACAGAATCTTTTCTATAAGAAATCTTATGAGATTTTTTATAAAAACCGAGTAAACGTTGTATAATTCAAGATTGACTTCTTGATTAGTGTAATTTAATTTCTAAAAGTTTTATAAGATCTTTCTTTAGCTTTTTTTCCACGTGACCGCTAAACGAGATAGCTCTAATTCCGATGACATTCTGCGCGTAATTTTTAAAGTAATTAAATAAACGGCAGGAAATTATTGTAATGAGCCCGATTTGTCAAAGTCTAAAACTGAATATATCATCATTTATCACGCTCAATATCTAGAATCGGTTGCTATGGTTTATATAAGAAAGTTGTGTGTATATGTACATTTGTAGTTAATTTCCATCTCGAATATCTAAAAAAATATATCTTCGTCGGACTGGTTTCATTTGATACATAAATATGCAATAAGGATTTGATGAGCTTTTCATTAAAATTGGTTCGAAAGATAATTCTACGAATAAATTACCTAACAGAAGAACTATTTACTTCTGCAGGAAGGTGTAGTAATCCCCGCAACGCTGCCGAGCAGAGTTAGATCCGTCGACTGCCTTCTCGATCGTAGTTGAACTTACCTAGACAGACAACTCATTCTAGGCAATCAACTCGACAACTTTGAACATTCAATGGTTCTTAATTGATTATTTGACTTAGATAGCCTATAAGTTTGTGAGCTTTTGATCAAAAATCCACAATAATCAGACACGGATATTATTTCTATTTATTGTCTACTCTATGGTGTTTACAAAATTTCACAAAATTTGATTACTTTATGTACTAAATATGATTGAACTACGATAGTATGAATCTTGCTCGAAAGTAACATCTTCTTCACAAAACCTGATAGCCCGCTCGAAAAGCGTGTCACCTATGGCAAAATCCCCCCTATGAAGCAATCTATGGGGAGGCCTATGTTCAGCAGTCGACTTTTATAGGCTGTGATGGATGGGTGGTGTACGAATCATGCTCGGAAGTAGCTTCCATTAATTGCTTGAAACGCATATGTTCATGTTTATAGATATCACTCACAGAAATCGTAATAATAATAATAATAGGAGGGTTTTGTCTGTGCAATACAGGATCAGGTTATTAAGACCAACAACTATCGGAGATACATCCTAAAGGATGGCACCGTCGACATCTGTCGAGCTTGTCGCCATCCCGGTGAGTCACTTAGGCATGTTATCTCCGGTTGTTCGGCGCTTTCTAACTCTGAGTACTTGCACAGGCACAACCTAGTAGCCAGAATTCTACACCAGGAGCTCGCTCTGAAATACGGTCTCGTGGATCGGAAATTGCCGTATTACAAGTACTTGCCGGAAGCCGTGCTCGAAAATGATCGCGCCAGGCTCTACTGGGACGGGACCATCATCACAGACAGGACTATTCTAGCGAATAAGCCTGATATTGTGCTGATGGACCGGGCACAGTCAAGGATATTTTTGGTCGACATTACCATTCCGTATGACGAGAACCTCGTGAAAGCCGAAACAGACAAGCAAACAAAATATCTGGACCTGGCTCACGAGGTGACCGACATGTGGGGTGGTCTGCCGACCGAAATTATTCCTGTAGTCGTCTCTGCAAACGGGCTAATCCCAGTCAGCCTCTCGGGTCATCTGAGGCGGCTGGGACTACGTGGCGGACCGCTCCAGGTTCAAATGCAGAAGGCGGTGCTCCTCGATACCGCCCGCATCGTCCGCCGGTTTCTTTCCCTTTCCCCCTAACCCTCGGCCGTTTGGTCTCCCCTGCCGAGGGCCTCCATCTGGTTGGGCTTTTACTTATTTATGTACTTTTATATTTATTTTATGTTATTGATATTTATGTATATTTATCTTTTCATTTTCATTTATAATTATATATTTATAGAACCCAACCAGATGAGAAAACTATATAGATACCCCACAATAATAATATAATAAATATATATATATATAATAGATAAGGCGTAGGGAAGTGACGACCCCATCGCCCGCTGATATAACGGTTATGTGACAAAACCGCTAGGTAAGCGCAGTCAGTCAGCACCTTGCCAAGAGGTGTTAGTGCCGTGCCTCGGCAAAAATTGAAGGTGCCAAGGCCCGCTTGTGCACATGGCCTAACCATGAAACGGCGCCGGGTCTGGGCGTCTCCCGCTAAATGACGCCCTAAAATGGATGATGGAATCAAATAGAACGCGCAAAGGGCCGCTGCCTGGAGGTCGCCAGGGCGCGTCTGGAGCTGGTGCTGGACGCGACAGCATGCGAACCGCCAGCCGAGCGCGAGGTGCTGCACGACCACCCAGCAGGTCCTCGCATCCATCATCCCCACCAGCTGGCTTGGTGTCGGCAGGGTCTTCGCGGGCTCAGCAATCGGCACCCGCCACTGGTGGAGTACGCCGCATGCGTTGGACAACCCAGATGAACAACAACGCATTGCGGGCGTTTTTTAGGGCAAAAGGGGGAGAAACTGGAGGTTTTGCGTATCGGGCAAGGATGCATCGACTTTTTGCTGAGCTGGAGCCATCTGTAACCGTCACCGAGCAAAACCTGGCAGACCGAGTTCGGTATATCTTGCGCTCAAATACATTTGATGTCACCGAACTCGAACGGCTACGACGTGAGGCTGTTCCTTCATCGGGTGAAAATGCTGCGGCTGAGGATGCGGCGCCACAACTTGCTGAGCAAACGGCAAATGTGGATGCCGCCGTGAATACGCCAGTTGTGGTTGATTCAAACGATGATGGAACAGTCGCCCAGGAACTGGAACTAGAGCAAATGAGGAGTACATTGGAAGAGGCGATTGTGGAAACGCGCAGTACGACTCTCGAAAATCGACCGCGACTTCCCCGCTTAGCCCTAAGCAAGCGGAATCGGGCTGTCGTGAGGGCTCTGAACCCAATGCTGGTTACCTATTTGGAAGCCAGCCGGGACCTTTGCGAGACGGACTCAATTCTTTTTGGCGCCGCACTGGCAGTCTGCCGTATTATAGGTGCCAAACTTTCCACGGCTGGACGCGCTACTGGACAAAGTAGTGCTATCCCAGCCTGGAGAATAAGAATTGAAGAACGTATCGCAAAGGCTAGGGCCCTAATCGGCAGACTGATATGCTTCAGGTCAGGCAATACCAGACCAAGGATTGTGCGCAGCTTCAGGATGGCGTTTGCTGGGACAAACTAACATTTGTCGGCCGAATATAATGCAAAAACTGACGGAGCGCATAGACGACCTGAAGCAAAGAATAGCTGCTTGGGGAAAGCGGATTCGGCGATATACCGAGAGGTCGACACGGTTCAACCAGAATCGTCTCTTCCAGAGTGATCAGAAGAGGCTCTATGAATCATTGGAGCGACCAATGGTAAGTGGAACGGGTCCAGCACCGAATCAGGCCGACACGGTAGCATTCTGGCGCGGCCTGTGGTCAGAGCCCGTAAACCACAGCGAGGGCCCTTGGACGGAAGTTGTGGCGAGTCAGTGTGCGGGTATTACGCCCATGGACCCCGTCATCATAACGCCGGATGACGTAGCTGAGGCGGTCCGTAGGGCCCCGAACTGGAAAAGTCCGGGGCTTGACGGGCTGCATCACTACTGGCTGAAGGGGTTCATGGTGTGTCACTCTGTGCTTGCCCGACAGTTTCAAGAGGCTCTCAACCAGAAGTCGCTCCCAAGCCTCTTCACTACTGGGATCACTCATTTGGTTCCTAAAGACCAGGGTACCACAGACCCGAGCAAATATCGCCCCATCACGTGTCTACCGACCATATACAAGACACTAACATCCATTTTGAGCGCGAGAATCACTCGTCACCTGGACTCAAATCAGGTGATGTCGCGCGCTCAAAATGGATGTCAGGGCGGTTGTCGTGGAACCAAGGAACCACTCCTCATTGACGCGGTCATTGGCAAAGTGGTGAAACGCAACCGTCGGAACTTCTCCGCCGCCTGGATAGACTACAGAAAGGCATTCGACTCGGTGCCCCATACATGGCTAAAGAGAGTCCTCGAGCTGTACAAGATAGACTGTACAGTTAGAGACTTCCTCGAGCAGTGTATGGGACAGTGGAGTACGATCCTTTGTCATCTGGGCGAGCGGATGACGGCTGCGGAGAACCACATAAGGATAAGAAGGGGTATCTTCCAGGGCGACTATCTGAGTCCAATCTGGTTCTGCCTCTCTTTGAACCCTCTCAGTACTTTACTGGAGTGCTCCGGGAGGGGTTTTAAGCTTCGGAAAGGAGGTAAAAAAGTGACCCACCTTTTCTATATGGATGACCTTAAGTTACTCTCCTCCAGTCGCTCCCATCTTATGGAACTGCTAAACATAACGTGTGAATTTAGCAATTCCATTGGAATGGAGCTTGGGACGGATAAGTGTGCGGTCCTCCACGTTGAAAGGGGAAGGGTTGCTAACTCTGAGGGCGTAGACTTATCTATGCCCGTCAACTTAAGGACCCTTTCCGAGGCTGAAACATACCGATACCTGGGTATGTCACAAACATCGGTATCGATGAGACTGGTATGAAACAGCCAGTTTGCGACGTGTTTTATGCACGCTTGACCAAAGTGCTTAGCAGCCTTTTGTCCGGTGTGAATAAGGCACACGCATATAACGGCTGGGTCATGCCTGTCCTCATGTATACCTTTGGCATACTCAGGTGGACTCAGACTGAGCTTAACGCCCTGGATAGAAAAGTCCGCACTACCATGACGTCCCATAGGATGCATCATCCGAGATCGTCGGTAATGAGGCTGTACTTGTCGCGGAAGCATGGTGGTCGTGGCTTCTTGAGCGCGCTCACCATGCATAATCGCGAAGTGTGCAGCCTCCGTGATTACTTCCTGGCGAGATCGGATGATCCATTCTATAAGGACGTCATTTCTTGTGATAAAGGACTTACCCCTCTATCCTTAGCCAACGAGCAATGGCAAGACCCGGCAGTGCAGAGCATTTCCGACCGGGAGACCGTATGGAAGGAGAAGGAGCTCCACGGGAGGTTCTACAAGGCTCTACATGAGCCTTTCGTAGACACAGTAGCCTCCCTCCACTGGCTACGATTTGGTGATCTCTTCGGGGGAAACCGAGGGTTTTGTCTGTGCAATACAGGATCAGGTTATTAAGACCAACAACTATCGGAGATACATCCTAAAGGATGGCACCGTCGACATCTGTCGAGCTTGTCGCCATCACGGTGAGTCACTTAGGCATGTTATCTCCGGTTGTTCGGCGCTTTCTAACTCTGAGTACTTGCACAGGCACAACCTAGTAGCCAGAATTCTACACCAGGAGCTCGCTCTGAAATACGGTCTCGTGGATCGGAAATTGCCGTATTACAAGTACTTGGAACTCGGAAGCCGTGCTCGAAAATGATCGCGCCAGGCTCTATTGGGACCGGGCCATCATCACAGACAGGACTATTCTTGCGAATAAGCCTGATATTGTGCTGATGGACCGGGTACAGTCAAGGATATTTTTGGTCGACATTACCATTCCGTATGACGAGAACCTCGTGAAAGCCGAAACAGACAAGCAAACAAAATATCTGGACCTGGCTCACGAGGTGACCGACATGTGGGGTGGTCTGCCGACCGAAATTATTCCTGTAGTCGTCTCTGCAAACGGGCTAATCCCAGTCAGCCTCTCGGGTCATCTGAGGCGGCTGGGACTACGTGGCGGACCGCTCCAGGTTCAAATGCAGAAGGCGGTGCTCCTCGATACCGCCCGCATCGTCCGCCGGTTTCTTTCCCTTTCCTTCTAACCCTCGGCCGTTTGGTCTCCCTTGCCGAGGGCCTCCATCTGGTTGGGCTTTTATTTATTTATGTACTTTTATATTTATTTTATGTTATTGATATTTATGTATATTTATCTTTTCATTTTCATTTATAATTATATATTTATAGAACCCAACCAGATGAGAAAACTATATAGATACCCCATAATAATAGTATGGCGTAGGGAATTGACGACCCCATCGCCCGCTGACGTAACAGTTAAGTGACAAAACTGCTACGTCAACGCAGTCAGTCAGCGCCTTGCGAGAGGTGTGAGCGCCGTGCCTCGGCAGAATTCAGGGTGCAAAGGCCCGTTTGTGCTTATGGCCGTCCACGATACGGTGCCGGGCCTGGGCGTCTCCCGTTAATGGACGCCCATATTATGGATGATGCAAAAAAACATAGTGCGCAAAGGGCTGCCGCCTGGAGGTCGCCAGGACGCGTCCGGAGCTGGCGCTAGACGTGACAGCATGCGGGCCGCCAGCCGAGCGCGGGGTGTTGCAAGACCACCTAGCAGCCCCCCGCATCCATCATCCCCACCAGAAGGCTTGGTGTCGGCTGGGTCTTCTCGGACTCAGCAAGCGGCACCCGCCGCTGGTGGAGCACGTCGCATGCGTTGGTCTAAATCAATGAATGAAAACGCACTGCGGGCGTATTTTAGGGCAAAAGGGGAAGAAACTGGATGTTTGGCGTATCGGGCTCGGATGAATCGCTTTTTTGCAGAGCTGGAGCCATCTCTATCCGTCACTGAGCAAAACCTGGCAGACCGAGTTAGGTACATCCTGCGCTCCAACATATTTGGTGACGCCGAACTCGAGCGACTACGACGTGAGGCTATTCCTTCATCGAATGGAAATGCTACGGCTGGGAATGCGGCGCCACTAGATGCGCAACAAACTGCATATGTGGATGCTGCCGTCAACATTCCATTTGTGGCTAATTCAGACGATGATGGAATAGTCTTCCAAGAACTAGAGAAAATGAGGAGCATATTGGAAGAGTCGATGCTGGAAACGCGCAGCATGCCTCTCGAAAATCGACCGCGACTTCCCCGCATACCCCTTAGCAAGCGAAATCGGGCTGTCGTGCGGGCTCTTAACCCAATGCTGGTGACCTATTTGGAAGCCAGCCGGGACCTTTGCGAGACGGATTCAATTCTTTTTGGCGCCGCACTGGCAGTATGCCGTATTATTGGCGCACAAACTTCCCGTGGCTGGACGTGCTACTCAAAAAAGTAGCGCCATCCCAGCCTGGAGAAAAAGAATTGAGGACCGTATCGCAAAGGCAAGGGCCCTTATCGGCAGACTGACGAGCTTCAGGTCGGGTAATAATAGACCGAGGATTATGCGCACCGTTAGGATGGCGTTTGCTGTGACAAATATCAGTTTGTTCCAACCGGATATCACGCAAAAACTAACCGAGCGTATAGATGACCTGAAGCAAAAAATCGCTGCTTGGGGAAAGCGGATTCGACGATTTAGCGAGAGGTCAAGGCGGTTCAACCAGAATTGTCTCTTCCAGAGTGATCAGAAGAGGCTCTATAAATCATTGGAGCGACCAGAGGTATGTGGAGCGAACCCAGGACCGGATCAGGCTAACACTGTCGCATTTTGGCGTGGCCTGTGGTCAGAGCCCGTAAACCACAGCGAGGGCCCTTGGATGGAAGTTGTGGCGAGCCAGAGTGCAAGTGTTACGCCTATGGACCCCGTCACCATAACGCCTGAAGACGTGGCTGAGGCGGTCCGTAGGGCCCCGAACTGGAAAAGTCCGGGGCTCGACGGGCTGCATCATTACTGGCTGAAGGGGTTAGTAGCGTGTCACGCTGTGCTCGCCCGACAGTTTCAAGAGGCTCTCGATCAGAAGTCTCTCCCGAGCCTCTTCACTACTGCGATCACTCATTTGGTTCCTAAAGATCAGGATACCACAGACCCGAGCAAATACCGTCCCACCACGTGTCTACCCACCATATATAAGACACTGACATCCATTTTGAGCGCGAGAATCAGTCGTCACCTGGAGCTAAGGGGTATCTTCCAGGGCGATTGTCTGAGTACAATCTGGTTTTGCCTCTCCCTGAACCCTCTCAGTACTTTACTGGAGGGCTCCGGGAGGGGATTTCAGCTTCGGAAAGGAGGGACAAAAGTGACCCACTTTTTTCTATATGGATGACCTCAAGTTATTCGCCTCCAGTCGCTCCCATCTTATGGAATTGCTAAATATCACTTGTGAATTTAGCAGTTCTATTGGAATGGAGCTGGGAACGGATAAGTGTGCGGTCCTCCATGTTGAAAGGGGAAGGGTTGCTAACTCTGAGGGCATAGACTTATCTATGCCCGTCAACTTAAGGACCCTTTCCGAGGCTGAAACATACCGATACCTGGGTATGTCACAGAACATCGGTATCGATGAGG